CTGGAGAGATGGCTCAGTTGTTAAGAGTGCGCACTGCTCTTGCAGAGGACCTGAGACAACCATCAGTAACTCTAGCTCCAGAGAATCCAACACCCTCTTCTGCACTTTGAAGACACGCCCCCCCACACACATAAATTCAAAAAATTCTTTAAAAAATACCAATAAACTACTGAGCATTATGGCACATGCCTTTAATCCCACCACTCAGAAGGCAGAGGCAGGTGGATCTCTGTGAGGCCAGCCAGGTCTATATAGCAAGTTCCAGGCCAGCTGGGGCTATAGGGAGACCTTGTCTCAAAAAACCAAAAGCAAAAAACAAACCTATAAACTTAGGGGGAAAAGTATCATTCCCAAGAACATGGAACTTCTGAGCCACATGCATACGCGTTAGTGAAGTTTGCCCACCACTTTGTATTTTTTTCCTTCAAAACATAATTTTGTTTGAGACTGGGTCTCATGTAGCCCAGGCTGGTTCGATCTCACTGTATAGCTAAGGAAAACCTGATCTCATTATCTTCCTACCCCTCCTCCCTAGTGGTGGAATTGAAGGTATGAACCACCATGTTGGGCTCAAAGCATAATTTGCTAGGACTTATCAGATCAGCATTCACCTAGGGTGTCCATGGCCCTAATTTATCCTGATGAGCCTCCAGGACTGACTGGGAATCACTGCAGCCTAGGATTCATGCTAGTGATTAACACAAGAAATGCATATAATTGATACGTTCTTTCTTCTTAGTGGAAAATGAATAGAAGGCTTAGGATGTGGCTCTGTGGCAGAGTGCCTGCCTAGCATGCACAAGGTTCAGGGTTTGATCCCAGGGAGGAGCAGGAAAAAAAAAGAGGTGGGTGTAGTGGCCCACACCTTTAATCCCAACACTCAGGAGGCAGAGGCAGGCAGATCTGTGTGAGTTCAAGGCCAGCCTGGTCTACATAGTGAGTTCCAGGACAGCTGGGGCTACAGGAAGACCCTGTCTCAAAAAGACCAAAAAAAGGAGTAAAAAAATTAGTTCCTCTTTTTTAACAGCAGAAAAAAAAGACAGCACAGCTTTGATGTTATCCAAAGGAAGTCTGCAGTCCTGGCTGTCTGGGTTTGCAGCCCAGAAGCCTTTTTCAGGGGATTGGAGAGATGGTTCAATGGTTAAGAGTGTGTACTGCTCTTGCAGAGGACCCAAGTTTGGCTTCTAGTACCCACAGTGGGCAGCTCACAACCACCTGTAACTCTAGCTCCAGTGGATCTGACCCCTCTTCTGGCTTCCACCGGCACATGCAGGCAAATTTCTGGGAGTTTTCAAGGCTTTGAACTGGAACTCAAGGTCTACACATCGAGTTCCAGTTCCAGTTGTGGCTACAGGGAGACCCTGTCTCAAAAAGACCTAAATAGAATAGAAAAAATAAATAAAAAGAGAAAAGAAAGAAAGAAAGAGAGAGAGAGAGAAAGACAGAAAGAAAGAAAGAAAGAAAGAAAGAAAGAAAGAAAGAAAGAAAGAAAGAAAGAAAGAAAGAAAGAAAAAAAGAAAGAAAGAAAGAAAGAAAGAAAAAGAAAGAGAAAGAAAGGCTTTATTTTGCTTCATGGATTTTAGAGGCAGCAGTCTACTAGAACCTTCCTCATTTCTTTGGACCCATGGTGAGGTTATCCTTGATAATGACTGTGTGGCAGGGAAAACCACTCAGCTGTTATCAGGCAGGAGGCAGAGGACACACAGCTGTCTTCCAGGACACGCCCCAAGGACAACAGACCGCCTGTAAGGCTACTCTCCTAAACATGTCCCTGCTCAGTCGCAGTGCCTGGTGCCTTTAGCACATGGACCTTTACCCAAATCAGAGCATTCTACCCTGGCCCCCAAAGATTTACATCAGTCACATGGTGTAAAATGTATTCAGTGCATCCTCAAGAGGTCCAGAGCCTTAACTGTTCCAGCATTGCTCCAAAGTCTCTTCCAGGTCTCACCGCAAAGTCAGCTGTTAGCTGCGGGTGAGGCCCAGGGTCCCATTCTTATTCTGAAAGGAAGGAGGGGAGGGTAGTAAGGAGCCACTCGCCGAAAGCAAGGCCAAATCCCAGCAGGGCCAACACTAAATCCTAAAGCCCCCTGTCTGTCACCATGGCTGCCTAGGGCCTTCTACAGTCTCGCTGAGAGCAGCCCACCAGGCTCGCCTCTGGCTGGCTTCGCCCACTGCCTCTAGCTTTCCTCGACAAGGGAACACTGGCAACATCTTTACCGTCTGTGCTTCCACTGCAACCTGCACCTCACTCCCACACCTCTACCACAGAGCACCCAGCCGGGAGCTCTTTACAGGCCCCTGACCCCACAGCATGATGCGTGACCACCCGCGGTTTCCTTTACAGAAGCTGCCAGGACCCTGTAATTCTTGGGTTCTGCGTCCTCTCCTCCCTCCCTCCTTTAAAGGCTAACATAGTTAACCACCAGTAGTAAGGATCCAGTTCATAAAAATCAACACCTTCCTATAGATTAGTTGCTGGACGGAAGCCAGGTACTAACTTGATTGGCAGACTACACTGCTAGCATCTGAACACACCAACCAAGCTCAGCTTCACACACTGCAGCACAAGCATTTTGACTTACCTCAGCGTCACCTGGAAGGATTCTTGCTGGATATGGATCTCAAAGCTGAATATAGTCTAGCCTGAGGGTCTTATTTCCAGCATACGGGAGTGTAAAGAAACAAGGCGAACAGCGCCATAAGGAAGTGAACAGGACACGGGATGTGTGACAAGTGACCCTCAAGCAAATCAGTATCAGAAAGATGCGGCGCCTTCCAGATGGAGAGTCTCTCTCTAGAGGCACAACCTCAATTCACCCTTAACCAGTCCCTATTTGAACAATCAGATGTCCACAGGCACTGGTGGGAGGGACTCTGGTGTCGTCCTGACACAGTAATATTCTTGCCTTTGGGCACTGTGGAATTCCTTAGATTTTCATTTACTAAGCTATTTCCGGTTAGACTAGAGACTAAAGTGTCTTAGGTGCTGGGACTGTAACAAAGAATAAAGGGAAAGCAGTGTGGAGATGCCGAAGTTGCAGCCTGCTCGGTGTGTTCAAGAAGCAACTAGAGCACTTTGGAAGGGGAGGGATCAGAGGTATGTGCTGGAGAGAGAGAGGAGAGAGAGAGAGCGCACTGGAGAGGCTTTGAGTGGGGCTCCTCAGGTTCAGCTTTAGGGCTGGGGAGACAGATCATTGGTGAAGTGCATGTACGGCAAGCGTGAAGACCTGTGTTCGATTCCCAGAACACGCATTTAAAAAGCTGGTCGTGGTACTGCACTTGTAACGCCAGCACCTGGGAGGCAGAGACAGGCAGATCCCTGGGGTGCAGAGGCCGGTCGGTGTGGACGTGAGGTCAAGGGCAGTAGAAAAGAAACCAGGTGAGAGCTGATGGTGGCTTAACCAAAGTAGTAGCCAGAGGGGCAGTGAGACCCCCTCGGGTGCTGGACAGCGGACAGCAGACAGGGTTGCTGATGGACTCCGTGGGAGGGGCTTGAGAGAAGCAGGAATTAATGAGTCTCAGGTTCAGGGCTCAAACAAAACAACGGAAGAGGCATTTTCTAAAGAGCAGGAGACATGGAGGTGGACTGGGGCTCAATTCTGAAATGTTAAGTTTGAGGCGCGTGTAAAGTCATTCAGGCTGGATGTGGTGACCTGCCTCTGTGATCCCAGCACTTGGGAGGTGGGAGCAAGCAGAAGGATCAATTCAAAACTGACTTCAGCCTCATAGTGAGTTCGAGGCCAGCCTTCGTTGATGAGACTCTGTCAAAAACAAAACTAAAGACATCCAAACGGGGGTGTTTATTGCTATACTTGGAGCAACTGTAAAATATTTCTCCCTCAACCTGTCTACTCTTGATCACCTATGATTTAGTATTAAATGCTCCAGCTTAACATTTCTTTTTTATATATTTTTTAATTTATTATTTTTATTTTATGTGTATTTGTGTATTGCCTGCATTGTAGGTAAGTGCACCCGTGCCGTGCAATGCCTGTGGAGGACAGAAGAGGCTGCCGGATCCCCTGGGATTGGAGTTACGGAAAGTTGTTAGCTGCCATGTGGGTGCTAGGATTCGAACCTGGGTCTTCTGCAAGAGCAGCCAGTGTTCTTAACCGCTGAACCATCTCTCCAGCCCCCCAGCTTAACATTTCTTTTCCATCTTCTGATTATTGACCCAAAATGAGTGACAGAAAGACCAACTCTCCACAACAAGGAGTTTTTCTAGAATAGCCAGGGGTTGCCATTTGGGAAATACGTGCTTAGGGGGCATGTCTCAGATACTTGCATCTGAGGAGGTTGGAGCAAGATGGCAGAGTGGTTAAAAGCACTGCAGGGGACTGGGGTTCCGTTCCCAGCACCCACATGGCAGCTAATAACTGCCTCTAACTCCAGTTCCAGGGGGTCCGATGCCCTGTCTGGCCTCCACGGGCACGGCACACACATTGTGCAATTACATGCAGGCAAAACAGTCCTACACATAAAATTTAAATAAATAAATCAGTTTTTAAAAAGAAAAGGAACGGGGAAGAAAAAGAGGAAGGGGGGAGAGGAGCTGTTGGAAACACAGACCATTGCTTCCCTGAACTGGAGCTGGTGTGAGATTCAGATAAAATTCAAGTGAAACAGCCAACTATCACTCCTGGGTGGGTCTGTCTGTTGTTACAGTGCCCTGTACAAGTGGCTTATCTGGGATATGTGTTTTGAGGAATTCCTGAATATTCCCTTCGTGAGCATACATGAGTGGAGGCTCCTCCTTCATGGAGAACTTGTTCCAGAATACTCCTTCATGAGTATATGTGTATGCGGGCTCTTCCTTCATGATGGGTTTGGCTGAAGTGACTCCATGTTGGTATTGATAACTTTCATGTCACATGAATTTTAAGTTCTAGTGATAGTTGGCTGCTTCACTTGAATTTCAGAAGAGACTAAATGTTATTTGTTGGTGCTTTAATTATAGGTGAATATTAACTCTCTCTCTGTCTCTCTCTTTCTCTCAGTTTTCTCACTTGGGAACTGAGGGAAATAGTTTCAAAGGATGAGTGAATTAGAACAGCTGAGGCGAGAGGCAGAGCAGCTGCGGACTCAGATCCAGGTAGGAGATTGGTTTGGTGTTTTTTGTTTGAGACAGGATCTCCCTGTAGCCCCAGCTGGCCTGGAACTCACTATGTAAACCAGGCTGGCCTTGAGCTCACAGAGATCCGCCTGCCTCTGCCTCCCAAGTGCTGGGATTAAAGGCGTGCACCACCACGCCCGGCTGGAAATTGTTTATTTTTAAATTGATTTAGTATCATCAGGATGTAAAATCTGTTCAACCTGAGTTCAATCCCAGTGGAAGGAGAGAACCAACTCCAAAAGTTGTCCTCTGACCTCCACATGTAGGCTATGGTACATGCCCACCCCCACTCAAACACACACACACACACACACACACAAATAAATAATAAATAAAAGTAATTAAAAGTATGTCTAATCCTGGCTGAAAGACAAAAGCAGTGACTAGTTCTCTTCTAGGAAGGGGCTCACTGGGCGTGTAAGGGCACGAGAGAGGGGGATGGGCTATGATCAAAGTGCATTATACACATATAAGAGTGTCATAATGATGTCTGCTGTTACGCGTAATTCATATATTCTAATGAAACACTTAAATGCTCTTTTTATTCACACTGAGAATCATGATAGATTTCGGGTACAATTCAGTGAAAGAGGTTATTATGCTGTAACACACTAGGAAAATATCTCTAAAGCATTAGATTGCGGAAACGGTCATTCCAAAAGGCACATCAGAGCACGCACGGTGTCCTTTAGTCTCAGAGGTCAGCTCAATTCACAGAAACAAATACAAACTCTAGTTTAACAAACTGAAAAACCCTTAGAATGGCAGTTATGGTGGCACAGCCCTGTGATCTCGGGGCTCTGGAGCCCTGAGCAGGGGAATCATGAGTTCCAGGCCAGCCTGGGCTACATAGTGAGACCCTGTCTCAAAAACTGAAACAAGGACAGAACAGACACTTAGCACTTTTAAGGGTTCTGGGGCGGGGGGAGCAAGAAAAAAGAAAACGACGGTAAGAGCTTCCGGGGTTTCTGGGATGGGGATCAACGGAGAAAAGAACAGCTGGGACATCTGTGGGGGAGTCTGTGCTCCCTCACTCACACTGTCCGAAAAAATGAACTCAAAATAAGACTTAAATGTACTGTTTAGAGGTGTGATGTTCTTAGAAGTAAAGCTTGTGACTCTTCATGACCTGGATTAGGTAACAACTCCAAATGATGCCAGAATTACAACAGCAAAGGAAAAACCAGAAAATTCGACGTCATCAAATAAAAATGTGTCAAAAACACTGTTGAAAAAAAGACAGCTGTGGCACAGTAGGAGAAAATTTTTATCATCACGCAACGGTCCAGCATCCAGAATATATAGAGAACACATATTTCTGCACAATAAAAAGAAAGCCCAATTTAAAAGTTGGCAAAAGCTTTGAATAGACGTCCCTTCAAACACCTGTACACACACTTAGACCAGCACACAGATGCACAGACACATGCACAAACATACAAACTCAGATAGACACATATTTGCATATACAGACACACACGGATACACACACTCATAGACATACACAGATGTACCCACAGAGATGTACACACACAGATGTGCACTCATAAAATTTCTCTCTCTCTCTGTCACACACACACACTCATGTACACTCAGCATACACACACGCACACTCAGCATACACACACACACACACACACACACACACACACACACACGGGGCCAGTAAGTGTATAGAAGGGTGCTCAGCACAAACCCAGGCCTCACTTAGATGCTACTTTGCAGCTGAGATGCTGGAATCACAGTGGTCTGAGCCAGCCATGGCACTGGGACCTGAAGAAGCAGGAGCCTCAGGTGTTGCTGGAAGGAATGTAAAATGGGATAGCTGTCCTGAACAGCGACAGAGTTACCATATCACCACCCCACGCTGAGGGAATACCCAAAAGAATCTAAAACACAGACACACAGATATGTGCGTAGGAGTGATCACAGCATCACGACTGTAGTGACAGAAAAGGAAACAATCCAGGTTGAACGGTTTTCATTAACAGAGACACAGGTTGGTCCAGAGGGAGGCAGCCCGAGACAGGAAACACACACTGCTCAATGCTGCGAGGTGGTGAGGCCACACAGAAGACCCTAAGGGATGCAGAGAAAGGGGGTCAGGGCAGATGGGGCTTCTCTGGGGGAGATGGGCATGTCCTAGAATTGGATGGTGGTGTTGATTGCTACCATGAAAGTCACTGCGTTGTATGCCTTAAAATGCTTCCTTTCATTAGAGAGGAAAATGCTTCAGAACTTTTTAAAAATAAAGATTATGGGGGCTGAGCTGGGCATTGTGGCAGGAAAATCTCTGTGAGTTCAAGGTCAGCTCGGTCTACATAGCAAGTTCCAGGCCAGCTGGGGCTACAGGGAGACCCTGTCTCCGAAAAAAGTCAAAAAGAAAAAGATTTAGGGGCTGGAGAGATGACTCAGTGGTTAAGAGTACTGGCCACTCTTATAGAGGATCCAGGTTCAGTTCCCAGCACCCACATTGTGGCTGAAAAACATCCCTAACTCCAGTTCCAGAGGATCCAGCGCCGCCTTCTGGCCTCCAAGGACACTGCATGCACATGCTGTACTTACATGCATGTAGGCAAACACTCAGACTCTTACAATAAAAATAAATCTTTAAGAAAATTTTTTAAATTTATTTTTATGTGTGTTTTGCCTGTAAGCACACCCATGCGTGCAATGCAGATAGAGGCCAGAAGAAGGTCCTGGATCCCCTGGAGTTACAGATGGTTGTTAGCTGCCATATGGATGCTGGGAACCGAACCTGGGTCCTTTGCAAGAGTGTCCAGTGCTCTTAACCACTGAGCCATTTCTCCAGCCCCTAAATCTTTTCCTTTTTTAAAAATATTTTATTATTTTTTTATGTGTATGAGTATATTGCACGCATGTATGTGAATGTACCCATGTTGTGCAATGCTGCAGAGGTCAGAAGAGGGCTTCGGATTCCCCTGGAACTGGAGTTAAGGATGGTTCGTAGCTGCCATGTAGGTGCTGGGAATTGAACCCAGGTCCTCTGCAAAAGCAATCAGTGCTCTTAACCGCTGAGCCGTCTCTCCAGCCCCACTCTTTTCTTTTTAGATTAAGATTATGTGGTGGAGTAAAGGCTTATTTTCAAACTGTATTTTCAGTAAAAGTGCCCAGAGGGTTCCACGTCTAAACATTTACTGTCCCTTTTCTTTGCTCTAGGATGCTAGGAAGGCCTGCAACGATGCCACACTTGTCCAGGTAAAGTTCCCTCAGCTCACTCTACCCATTGAAAGTAGGTCACATTCGACCCGCATGGAAAAGTAGGTGTTACATGCTGAATGCTGTTAGGACAGTGCAAGTACTCGATAGATCACAGAGGCCTGCCAGGGAGACCCACCCTGCAGAGGCTTAGGGTCATTTAGTTTATGCATTGTTTATTAAAATATATATATATATTTTTTGCCAGGTGTGGTGGCGCACGCCTTTAATCCCAGCACTGAGGAGGCAGAGGCAGGCGGATCTCTGTGAGTTCCAGGCCAGCCTGGTCTACATAGTGAATTCCAGGACAGCTGGGGCTACAGGGAGACCCTGTCTCAAAAAGACCGAAAAGAGAGAGATCCACCTGCCTCTGCCTCCCAAGTGCTGGACTACCGGCATGCACCATTACACCTGGCTATTATTTTTCTTTTATGTGTATGAATGTATTGCCTGCATGTTGTGGAAGTGTACCCATGTCATGCAATCCCCTTGGAAGTCAGAAGAGGGCACCAGATCCCTGGAACTGGAGTTATGGCTGACCATTAGCCACCATGTGGGTGCTGAGAACTGAACCAGGGTCCTCCACAAGAGCAGTCAGTGCTCTTAACAACTGAGCCATCTCTCCATTTCTGATTCTTTTTGATATACTCTGATTAAGCTTTTTTTCTTATGAAAATTCTTAGGAAGTTTTCATTAATTTAATACTGATAACTTTTATTAAGGAAATATGTTTTATACTATGCATACAGAAAACTGCCTTATTTTTTTTTTTTTAGAAATTCAGAACTTTATGATTCCAGAAGACACCCATCCCCTGATCCCATTGTGCCCCATGTCAGATGTTTTCCGATCTGATCTGAGCCCCCGTATCATCCTTTGTTCCCCCCGCACGGAGCAGTGTCTGAAGCCATGGGCTGAGTCTCCAGGGTAGATAGCTGGGCCTTGACTTTCATCTCTCAGTGCCCGGAAGTCACCTTTCCACGCAGACAGGGTCACAGACTGGTCTCCAGGTTATAGATGGAGCACTCATAATGTTTAAGGCAGGCAGCAGCAGTAGAGCAGACCGGCTATGGTTGCCTCACAGCCCCCGTCTATCCAGGAGCTGACGCTGGCTTTCTTACAGTTAAAGATGTTTTTTTCTTCAGTCTACTTCTGTGTTTCTCTTTGTGGCTAGTATAACCTTTTTCCTTAGCAACACATCCTAACTGTACATATCTGTGGGCAGAGGGTGACAGCTGGCTATACTATAGCCTATCAAATCAGGGTAATGACTCATTGTTTGCAGGGTTTATCATTGCTCTGTGTTGGGAGCTGCAAGCCACCTTTCCTCTAGTTCTTTATAGAAAATGTTTGATAGGGGCCTGAGGTCCTAAGTTTGAGCCCCAGAATCACAGTAAAAGCGGGGGGGTTGTCCACGTGTGTGTGTCCATACACATATCACACGCACAATAATAATAATAATTTTAAAAACATTTGCTAGGCTGGGGTAAATTCCAGCGGCCTCATGCTGCAGAGTTTAAAGCTGGTCTTGCATTGTGCTGTGCCCTGTCTCCCTTCACCCCTCCTAACTTTCCTGGTTTGTACTGTGGCTGGGTTTTGTTAAAATATGGAAGTTGGGGCTGGAGAGATATCTCAGCAGTTAAGAGCACTCACTGACTGCTCTTGCAGAGGACCCAGGTTCAGTTTCCAGCACCCACACGGTGGGTAACAACCATCTATTGTCTCCAGTTCCAGGGTATCCAACGCCCTCATCTGACCTCCATGGGCATTACATGACATGGGTGCCCTTCCATACATGCAGGCAATGCACTCATGCACATAAAATTAAAATAATAAAATATTTTTAAAATATGGAAGTCTATCTGTCTTGGTTCATCATCTGAAAAGATGTTCTTACATGTTAACAGCACAAGGATTACATTATTGTGGTTCTTATGAGCAGCACTTTGACCTCCTGCCAATTCTGTAGAATTCTTCGTACTTACCACCTTTACCCACTATTTAAACTATGTCTATTCTTTTTTTTTTGTCTACTAATTGGCTACTTTATCTCCTGAAGTGTGGCTAAGGTGCAGAATAATCTTTTTGTCCCTTTCTAAAGATCACAGCTAATATGGACTCCGTGGGTCGAATACAGATGCGGACAAGACGCACCCTGCGGGGCCACCTGGCTAAGATCTACGCCATGCACTGGGGGTGTGACTCTAGGTCAGTGCCTATCGGTTCCAAACTGCCCACCTAAGGTTTTCTTTCAGAGTCATCACTTGAATATTCTTTGTTCAAAAACAAACCTTGTGCCAGGCGTGGTGGCACACACCTTTAATCCCAGCACTCAGGAGGCAGAGGCAGTCAGATCTCTGTGAGTTTGAGGCCAGCCTGCTCTACATAGCACCAGCTGGGGCTACAGGGAGACCCTGTCTCAAAAAAACAAACAAACAAAAAAACCACCTTACTTATGGAGGGTTCATAGAAAATGCCTCAACTATGAACGCATTCTTTTTAAAAATTATTTATTAACTTTATTTTATGTGTATGAGTGTATTGCCTGCATGTATGTGAGTGTACCTGTGTCGTGCAATGCCACAGAGGTCAGAAGAGGGCTTCGGATTCCCCTGGTTCGAACTGGAGTTAAGGACATTTGTAGCCACCATGTGGGTGCTGGAAATCAAACCCAGGTCCTCTGCAAGAGCAGTCAGTGAGTGCCCTTAACCGCTGAGCCATCTCTCCAGCCCCTATGAACGCATTCTTTACCTGAGGGCTATCCATTGCCAAGCAGTTTAGAATTTTGTTTCCAGTGTGGGGATCAAACTCAGTGGTCCCTGCTTGTAGGCAAGTGTTCAACCACTAAGCTACACCTCAAGTCTAGAAGTTCACAGAAGTCTTTAGGGCCTGCAAGATGGCTCAGCAGGTAAAGGTGCTGCCAAGCCTTGCAACCTGAGTTTGATCCTAGGTACCCAGGCAGAGGTTGAAAGAGAGACCCGACTAACTTCAGAAAGCTGTCCTCTGACCTCCACATGTGTCACACACACACACACACACACACACACACACTATAAACACAAATAATAGTAATAATAATAAAATGACTTTTTACTATGAAAAATAAATTTGCTTCTCAAAAAAGTCTTTGTAGGCCTGGGGTGGTGGCACATGCCTTTCATCACAGGCCCTTGGGAGGCCAAGACAGGCAGATCTCTGTGAGTTCTAGGCCACCCTGGTCTATATAGCAAATTCCAGGCCAGTCAGGGCTGCATATTGAGACCCTGTCTCAAAAAGGAAAAAAAAGTCTTTATCAAGTGATCTGGGGAAACTTTAGAAGGGGATTTCTTTCTTTACAGAAAAGTGTTATAATATGCTTTTCAATATGCCAAAAGGAGGGGTTTTGCAGGGGTGTTTGTTTTGAAACAAGTTATGCTAAGTAGCTCCAGCTGGCCTCAAAATCTAAATTCTCCTGCCCCAGGTCTCTGAGTGCTACAATTATAGACATGTACCACCATGTCTGGCCTGATACCGGATACCGGACACCTGACACCGGATACCGGATACTGGATACCGGATACCGGATACTAAGCAAATACTTGTTAAGAACTTCTTTGTTCAAGTTAGTGGATGTTACTGTAATTTAGCAACTACCTTCACAAAGGAATGAATTACACAACACTGGTATTTTTTGTTTGTTTGTTTGTTTGAGACAGGGTCTCCCTGTAGCCCCAGCTGGCCTGGAACTTGCTATATAGACCAGGCTGGCCTCGATCTCACAAAGATCAGCCTGTTTCTGCCTCTTGAGTGCCACCACACCCAGCCTTACACAAGAGTATGTTGGTGGAATATATTTTTTACTTTAGTCAGCTAAAACACACATGAGCGTTACGGTGGAGGCTGAGTACACGCAGGGGCAGATGACACACCAGCACATGCATGCCTTGCAGTACAGACGGTCTACCCATGATGCATCGTGTTCTTTGGGTCAGTGCAGCTTCTCTGGTTCTTGCTGTTTGTGGCAGCAGCAACCGGGCTACCTCTGTGTGGCAGTCCGTTTGGTTGGTTCACCTTGCTGGGAATGTCCAGGCATTTTTGTAGTGATCAGGCATGTGTTCTAATCTTCCAGGAGACACTTAAATGTCACTAGCACAGTCCTCCGTCTCTTCTTAGTCCCAAACACAGAGGTGGAAAATGGCCTTAGCAGGAGTTACAGGAAGTGAGGGTGGGGAGATATGACAGACCGGGTTGGTGGTAGTGATGGTGAGGTTTCACAGTGTTCATCTACATAACGATAAATTGTTTTTGAAAGGCTGTTTAGAGCCACTAATAGCAGGTAGTTGAGGACATGGAGATCAGAGACTCCACTCCTGTTTCTTGAATTTCTGCCTCTGAAGGAGCCCCACACAGTGATAGACTCAGAAGAAAACAGAACAGAGGTGTATACTGAGCGGCCTTAGGGAACCCCATGGGGATGGGCAGGAATTCTGTCAGGAAGGGACAAGTTGGCCTGTCAGTTTGCTGCCACTCTACGGAGCATTTGTGTTGTTTTCCTAATTATTTTGTGTTTCTGAGTTTAATATAATCTTGGTTTAAAAAAAGAGAGAGAGGGATGGTGCTTGAGAACACTAACACGGCCTCTTGGACGGGGGTGTTAGGGTTCGAGAATTGAGACTAATTCCCACAGATACCAAAAAGATTATACAAAAAGTTTAAGATTTAAAGTAAAAAAAAAAAGACAACAACCAAATGGCGGCTAGCCGGGCACAGACTACATGAGCCAAAGATGGAGCCTGGCCCCGAACAATAGCAGGCAGGGGCTTTTATTGAAGAACTCCACAGAAACCCGCGTGCATCAAGCATCTTTTTAAAATAATTGGATGTCTAGATGTCCCATATCCTGTGTACGGGGGAAGTCTTGATTGGTAGGGGCTATCTTCAGGACATTGGAATGTGCTGACTGATATCTTTTAGAGCCAGAAGTTTTTGTCCATACCTTATAAGGCTTTTACATGTCCAGGGCTTGCTTAATTCATAGCTTCCTGGGGGAGGGGGGGTAGCAACTGGGAAGATTTACAACATGCCTGAGCTTGTCCAGGCTTGTCTGAAGAAGCTAGCCAAAATGGAGTCAGCATTCTGGCTCTTCATTCCCCCCTAGAGTTATGACAAGGGTTAAATCTTTAAGCCAAGCAAGTTACAGAGCAGAAAGAAGGGGTTACACAGCGCATTTAGGACGGGGGAACCATTTCTATATTGTCGTAAGGCTCGGGGTCTCGATTTAAATGAGTATACCACGAACGCAGTACCATCAGTTGGACTGTCTGTATCCGTTCTTGGATGAATTTGAGCAAGGCATTAAGAATACAGGGACCACAGGTGACCACTAGTAGGAGTAAGAGGAGAGGTTCTACTATCGCTGAGATCAAAGTTGTTAACCACGGGGACCAGTCAAATAGGAATTCGTACCAATTTTGTTGATTTAGTCGTTCCTTTTCTCTTAAGTCTTTTACGGACCTCAGCCAAAGACTGTTTTATAACTCCCGAGTGATTAACATAGAAACAGCACTGTTCCCCTAGGCAACACAGAGTCCTCCTTTCTCTAGGAAAAGTAGATCCAGCCCTCTCCTATTTTGTAAGGTTACCTCAGCTGAAGAGGATAGAGAGTCTTCGAGGTGGCGGATAGATGTTTCTGATGATTGTATGTCTAAGTCTATGGCCTGTCTAAGAAGGTGATAATTTTTATCCTGGAGGACTAGCGCTGAAGCCCCCAGACCAGTTGCAGTGGTTACTCCGACCCTGAGTAGAGTAGACAAGACAACTGCAGTGGTTCCTATGGCCCTCTGAGGTCTAGACTCTTCTGAGGCTCTGGTTTCCATTTCTACGTCTGTTCTATAATATAGATGGGGAACCAGCTTCACTAGTACACAAAAATCCCCGGTCTGGTTTAAATGGATGAGTGGAGGCATGTAGTTAGGCCAGAGGTACAGGCCCACCAAGTGGAGTTGGGGGGCACCATATATAGGTTAGGTGCAGTAGCCCCTGACTCTTGAACAGAGTTACATAGATGTTGGTAAGAAGGGAGACAATTTTAGGTGAGGAGTCACGCATAGCCCTTTTCCACACACTTGGGTGAAGGTAGGCCCCCTTCTCCCTGTAGGCGGGGGTTTCTACAGGCAGTGGGGTCAGAAGTGACAACATGATTTCCTGGGAGAGCTAACCCATCATGAAAGGGAGGGCTCGGGTCCATGCAAAACCAGCAATGGATAGTAAGGTTAGGGGAAGTATTATTTAAAGCAGTAAAGGTGGCATTTAGGAGGTTTGTAAGTCCAGGGGATGGCTGTAGGGGCCTTTGGGCCTTGAGGACCCCCGTGGGGGGTGGGTAGAGTGACGGTTTTGTCAGGTCGGACAGTTTGGCTAGGGGCTGGCCGTCCAGCAGATTTAAAAATTGTTAAGGCCAGTGTTGGTCATCCAATGGGCTGTAACATGGTCCAAGCCGATGCCATCTGAGTTCCTAAGACTGGACCCACCTGAAGACGGACCAAAAAAAGTACCCCCGGGTCAGTTCCCGAGGCGGATAGCCTCAGCCCCCAAGTTCGCCCATCAGTCCATTTTTGTTGTTGTTTGAGTTCCCTTCCCTTCGGGGTAAAGCTCAAGGAGATAGGGATGCATCTAAGGGAAGTACATGGTCCATCAAGTCGCCCTGTGTTGCGGTTTCTAATAAGCCAGGACTGGCCAGGGACCGCAGTTACCTGGATTAAGTTGGTAGTGACTGGGGCAGCCCAGTGAATATACCCAGTGGACACGCAGCTCCAAGAAGCACAGAAATAATCCCCCGGCCCCCACAGGTACTTCTCCAGTTACCATTGTCACCTGGGCAAACATAAAAGTGGTGTTCCCGAGTCCTCTTTCAGGCGTGGGGGCTCTGGCAACCATAGTCTGCAGTGCCTGACGGAGAGGACAAGTCCCAAGTTCCTTCAAGCAGATCGCAGTGGTCGAATGTAATCTTGGGGAACCAGGTGCCTAGAGGTCCCAGATGAGAGGAGATGTTCACTATCTTCCTGGTGGATGTGCTGCTAACTACCCAGGTGAGGTTGTGGAGTCCATAGGGGGTGTTAGCTAGGGCAGGCTCTGTGAGAAAACATGAAAAGGCAACAAGGGTCAGGGTGTAGCGGTGATTTTTAGCTTGAGAGGATTGTCTTTTACCCATGTGACCTTCCATCTCTTGTTCA